TCTTTTTTTCGTTTTTTTTTTTTTTTTTTTTTTTTTTTTTTTTGCTGTTAGTTTTGAGCTAAAGCTTTTGGCTACTGTGTCTAGAATTTACCCATTTGAAACGGAGTTATAGTTCAAATCTGACATCAGAATTGGAAATGAATGAAATCATAGAACATAGTTACTAGTGTTCGTTCAGCCCATGATAGAACATAGTTTCTTCTGGGATCTGCTCACATATTGGACTGAGAAACTGTTCCCTGAGCGCTGGGCTTTGTTTATGGGCGTACATGCTTACTTTTTGCTTCCTTTATAATTTTTAAAGCTGAGTGACGCTCGGTGTTATACTCTTTTGAAGCATTTGGACTAAAATTACTCCACTAGTATGTGTTCTTTCACAAAACACTTCTATGTTACTCTTAGGCATAATGATTTTGATGGAGAAGTGCTTTTGAGCATTAGGGTGGAGTCGAGAAGTTACTCGTTCTCGCAGTCCTCTCCGCTTGCGACGTGTTAAGAAAATTATACAAAAAAAAAAAAAAAACGTTTTCTTTACTTCTCTTCCCGCTCAAATTTTCAAAATCAAAAGGTTTTATCCCCTTTAAGTTAAATTTGTAAAAATCTTCCTACATCCCGAGGATGATCTTTGGCTTTGATCAAGAGGTTAAAAGTTTGATTCTGTCACATTTACATTCTTGTAGCAGGATAACGATTGTGTGACACTTGTTCTAACTCTAACGAACAAGTTAGGTGTGTGAAATTGAGACTTTGCAGAACTTCGAATCATGTTTCAAATCATGTTTGAGAGAAATAATTTAGAAAACGTGAGCGGAAAAATGCATAAACAATGTTATTGACTAAAAGCATAAGTAATAACGACAGTTTTGTTCGCATATAACTCGAGTAGTAAGATTTGACAATTAGTCACATCTCTTTAATTCATTTTGGGGTATTTTAGCCTCGCAATGTGTAGACATGGACACGATAATAATAATTAAGACCGGGATAAATATGATTGAGTCAACGTGCATATAAGCAAATTGAAAAGAAAAAAAAAAATTATTTATTTATTTTTATCTTTCTTATGTATAATTATTGACACCTAGCTTTCAACATCGGAGTAATTAATAGGGAAAACAAATAAATTATTAGGAATTAAAATATATTAAAGTAATTTGAAAGAACTTGAAATTTGTAAAGAATGATTGAAGGATCCAGATGGTTTGAGTTGAAAAATGTACACATTCGATAATAATTCATTTTAATTTGTTTCAATTACCAAAAATAGCCTCCTAAAAGTGATGTTTGTTGGTAATAAATTGAAATTATTGAACGAAGTAATGGCTAGTGAACCTACCCTTTTCGTCATATTATTTTTTTAAAATAAAAAATCGCTTTCCATTTATTATTATAATTATTTTATACGCAACCAATTACCCGTTTATTTGAAAACTTAATTATCCAATCAATTTAATTGCAACATATTCAAACGAAATCTGGCCAAGAAAATGGCTAAATAATATATGAACAATAATTAAAATGAATGTGGGACCCACGGGGAAAGCCACGTGTCAAACAGCTATAAAGAGTTATAAGTAGTGAAACAGAGAAGATGGGCCCAAAAAAATATGACGTGGCCGTTTTTTTTTTTTTTTTTTTTTTTTTGTCAAAGACAAATTAAAAGACCATTCGAAATTAAATTACCCATCTTTCCGCTACCCTAAATATCGGAACCAATACAAAATTCCCCAAACTTATTTATTAGATTAATTGTTTTAAGATATTTTTTAAAATATTAAATACCCACATTTTTATGAAATAAGACTCCATATTTATAAGGATTTTACGTATGTAATATCAACCCATTTATAACAAATATTCTTTTAGCTATGAATAGAGGTGGTGAATTATATGGCCAAGTTGACACGTCTAAATTGAAGTGAAGCAGTAACATGATCGAACTGACCTGTTTAACAGAGGTGACACAGGTCACATGATTGAGCTAACCTATTGAAATTGAAGTAGCAAGTCACGTAATTGAATTGAGCTATACTAGTTAGTCTAACCTATAAAAAAGATATTCAAATCATTGTGGTAAACACGCTTCGAAGTTGTGTACATCAACGAGAATTAATATAATTTTTATGGGGTTATTTCGATGATTTTATTGTATAATTAAAGGAAATGAAAATGTATAATTAATTTAATGAGGAACATGGCTATGTCCTCTCTTTAGCATTCATTTATGTCTATTTTTCCCTCTTCGCTTTCTTAATCATAATTTAATAGAAAATAAATTTCCATTTTTCTCTGTTATTCTCCGGCGACATGCCTCGCCCTCCGCCGCCCTCTACATATCACCGTCGCACCCACATCCTCCTCCTCCTCTTTGCTCTCTCTTCAGCCGCCGCCGCCGCTTTGAAGTTCAAAGAAGCGCCTGAATTCTACAACTCCCCCACTTGCACCTCCATTGATCCTCACTCTGATGACGACCTCTGCTCCGATCTGGCCGTCCATGTGGCGATGACCCTCGACGCCACCTATCTCCGGGGCTCAATGGCGGCGATTCTCTCTGTTCTTCAACATTCCTCTTGCCCACAGAACATCTTCTTCCATTTCGTTTCCTCTGCTTCCACCGACACCACCGCCCTCCGATTGACAATCGCTACTTCTTTCCCTTACCTCAAATTCCATGTCTACCCATTTGACGTCGCCGCCGTCGCCGGATTAATATCCACTTCAATCCGCTCCGCCCTCGATTCTCCACTCAATTACGCTCGCAACTACTTGGCTTTACTGATTCCCCACTGTGTCCAACGCGTCGTTTATTTGGACTCCGATTTGATCCTCGTCGATGATATTGCCAAACTCGCCGCTATCCCACTTGGGGAAACCGCCGTCCTCGCCGCGCCGGAGTATTGCAACGCCAATTTCACCTCCTATTTCACCCCCACTTTCTGGTCCAATCCCTCTCTGTCCCTCACCTTCGCCGGAAGAAACGCCTGTTACTTCAACACTGGAGTTATGGTCATTCATCTCCAACGCTGGCGCGACGGCGACTACACCGCCAAGATCATTGAATGGATGGAGCTCCAGAAACGAATTCGGATCTACAAACTCGGCTCTCTCCCACCGTTCCTCCTCGTTTTTGCCGGCTTCATTGCCCCAGTCGACCACCGATGGAACCAGCATGGCCTCGGCGGCGACAATTTCCGCGGACTCTGCAGGAATCTGCACCCTGGTCCGGTGAGTCTCTTGCATTGGAGTGGAAAAGGGAAACCATGGGTTCGTCTCGATTCGAACCGGCCTTGTCCACTTGATGTTCTTTGGGCTCCTTATGATCTCCTACACACACCCTTTGCTCTTGAATCCTAGTTTTCCAGAAATATGTGCCAGAAAACAGGGGAATTACATTTCTTCATTGTTCATAAGTTATTTCTACAAATTTTTTGGTTTAATCTGTAAAATGTAAGAAGAACATAGATTAGAGGAGATTTAAGGATCCATATCCCTCAATCTTTTCCATAAACAGAGATTATTTTCCATATGAAGTACGTTAAATTCAGAGAAAGCCTAAGAACAAGAGCTTTCATTGTTGTAACAGCTAAAATGAAATGGGATTTCGCTGTAAAGTTGTTCTAATGATTTAATCCTCATAATAAGCGAAAAAGATATCAGATCGAGCTTAAATCATTGCAGTTCGTTTCATTAAATTCATGAGATTATGTAATGATATTTACAGTTCGAATCTCTCAACGAGCTCTAATGACGCCATGGCTACCGGCGATTTCATCCGCCTCCAAAAGAGAAACCCATGTTTTTTCTGCCTTTTCAATGGGAGATTCAGCAAGAACACAGAGATTGAAGACGATTTCCGCCATTGTTGGCCTGGACAAAGGTTCTTCTTGTGTACAAGCCCTCGCCATTAGAGCCAAGCTCAAAGCTCCTTCAATTGGGTAAAAGCTCTGTAATTTTGGGTCCATCCAATCTCTTAACTTCTCTTCTCTGCTCTGTTCTTGTTCTAAAACCTCCCTCATCTCTTCACATAACTTCACTTCTTTTTTCCCAGAAAGCAGCTCCAAAATCATAACCCCAAAAGCGAAAATATCACCTTTTGTGGACAGAGGACCAGTGGCAGGCCTGGCCTTGGCTAGATTTGAAATCTTTGCTCTGAATCTCGAGTCGAGAAGGATGCAACCTGTTTTGATATCTCTATGAACTATGCTTGGCTGAGTGTGATCGTGCATATACTGCAACCCATTAGCCACATCCAAAGCTATGTTCAGACGTTGGCTCCATGTGAGATGGAAGCTCACAGAGCCTGAAGAAACTGGAGATGGTGAATGAAGCCATTTATCCAACGATCCATTTTCAGCAAATTCATAAACTAAGTAAAAATTCTCCTCATAATCTGAAGAGAATCCCACCAGTTTCACTAAACTTATATGATTAACCTTCTGCAGAATCATTAGCTCCTCCTTTGAATCCTGTTTCGCTTCCTTTACCACTGAGATTTCTCCATTGATTTCGGCTTTGTATAATGATTTCCCAATCTTAAACCCCTCGTTGAAGTTCATTGTCGCCTCTGTTATCACTTCAAATTCGTAAAAAATCGGCCTTCCCAAGTAGTCGGAAACCACCGGAGGAAGAACCTGCAGCTGCCTGCTCTGTTTTGTCATCTTCTTTTTTGTGAGCTTAGAGATTCCAAAAATGGAAATTTCCCAGATGGGTAATGTTTTTTTCTTGTGGATTAACCAAATATAAACCCCCAACAAAGATCCCAACAGGAAACTAATCCCCAAAGCCACAATTATGATCACAAGGTGTTTGATATTTTTCTTCTGAGGCCAAGACAGAGAAAACAGAGGAAGTTTCGAAACAGGGACATAAATGGGCTTTCCAACCGTGAAATCCGTCAGGTTTATTGCTTCTTCTGAGACATTAAAAATGGCACTAACACGAGAAACCTCATCGTTGGGCTGCCATACATAAGTAATAAGATATTGAATCCCCTGTTTCAAGTTTTTCTCAGAAGGGCACTTACAAAACAGAGGAAAAACCACCTCTGCCCCCACCTGCAATTTCGTTGGATTTAGATTTGGGTTCATTTTCTGCACCAGGTTCCAAGCGCAGAGATTCTCAAACGTGGTGGTCGAGACGTGAAAAAAGGTGTCATCTTTCTTGATTTTGTAGGTGACGTTGTGGAAGAAGCCATTTTCAGAGCAGTGACAGTCCACAGGCACCAGTAGAAGCTGCCCATCAAACAATGGAGCTGTCTCAGATCCCAAGTTACTTGCTTTCGCAATCTTCAAAGCACTGACTCCAAACAAGCTCGATATGCTCACGAGATCCAAAAACTCTGGAGATTTTGCGAAGTACGAGACGTAAGTGCTACAAGAACGTGGAGAATCGACAGGACATGGAAAGGCTGCGCTGTCGGCGCCGCCATGAATGGCGAAAAAGCAAGCAAGAAGAAGCATGAACTCTGCTAGAAGCATTGTTTGAAGCTCTGAGAATCTAAAAGAAGTATTGAATGAGTGATAGAACTGAGTTTGGATTTGGAGTTAATGATTAATATTTTCATGGGCAGGTATGATCGTTGCATCACAATGTTTGAATAATTCAACCTAAAAGGTATTGAAAGCAACGATTTTGTGTAGTAGTTTAATGGGAAGTTGTTTTAAGACGGCTGGATGGGTTTGATGGCTTGTTTTGATTAAATTAAGGTAGCGAAGTTTAATGAAAGGGTGATGTAAGAGCTAAAGCGATGGGAGGGAGTGGGATTAAGTTTAAACATAAATGTATGATTAGAAAGAGGAATTAAGTACTAATTTGTGTGTTTATGCCTATTAAATAAACTCGTAAAATTCTATTCATGTTGCCATTACGGGTAAAAGATTCATTAGGGAGGTCTGCATACAATTCAAATATTGAACAAACGTGTTTTTGCAATGGAGTGTAATAGTTCAAGCTCACTATTAGTAATATTGTCCACTTTAGTCGGTTACGTATCGCCGTCAACATCACGATTTTAAAATTGTGAGGTTGACCACAATACATATCGGGTCAAAGCAGACAATATCCAGTCCATTGCTTTTAGGAAAAGCATACCATGCATTATCGTTTTTTCCTTGCCATTGGAGACTAAACTTTCACCATAAAAAACACTTACCATTGAAGTAAAACGGAAGATTGTTAGAGATTGTTGTCTTTATCGTCGTTAAAAAAACAAAAGCTAGTCGTTCTTCATTATCTTTGCTTCGTTCAAGCATGGAAGCCTATCGTGCACGTGGGAGACTCGTGAAAGTATATGAAAATATTTCTATATTCTTTTTATTTTCTTTATCTAATTTTTCAAATTTAAAATAATTACAAATTAATATAGAAAAATATGTCAGAATAATTATTTTTTTTTTAATCAGATCAATAATTTTGCACGTCATTTTTAATAAAAACAATGAAATTAAATCATATAAAATTTATACTTTTTGTTATGAAGTCATCAGAAATTGGAATATTCTTGGAATGTAACTGAAATTCATCATCCAACTAAAATATTTAAATACATAAATAAATAAATAAATAAATAAATAAAGAAGTTAATATAACATTAGAAGAAAGCTTTAATTAATTAATTCTAATTTTCCAAGTCAATATAAGATATAACACATCACTCAATAATTGATATCAATTTTAAATGAAAAAATATATTTAAATTTAAAATTTAAAATTATATTTTCAAAAGCATGATTATTTTAGATATTTATGTCATATTTATGTTAAAAGATGAGGCTTCATGTGGCAATGTGAACATAAATTTAGACCATTTTGAAGGAACCTTCCTCTCACTTTCCTTCTCCTTCATTGGTCTGCCCCAACCCTAACACTACTTTATACTCTAGAATATTTTTAAAAATAAATTATGGAATAAATTATATTTTTGTCTTTTGAATTTTAGTTTTTATTTGATTCATAAAATTTCAATTGAATTTAGCTTTGAAATAAGAAATAAAATAAAATAAAATTAGAATTACTTTATTATAAATTTAAATAAAATAAGAAAAAAAATGGAAAGTTGAGATCGATATTTTAAATTTCTCTAATTTTGAAGTAAAATGAATTACTTTATTATAAATTTAAATAATTTTAAAAAATATTTGTTGAGATCGATATTTATTAATATATGAATATATAGGGTAAAAAAGAAAAGTATTTTTTTTTAATATTATAAGTAATAAATAAAAGTAAAAAGAAAAATTAGGAAAAAGAAAGAAAAAAGAAAAAGGAGGGAGGCAATGAGAAGACCAAGGCAACGCGGTTTGTTGCTTCCTCATTTTGACTTTTTGGTTCTGAATTAATTTTTTTTTTCTTTTTTCAGAAAACAATTATGTCGGTGGATTCCAATTTCCCTTTTCTTTTTATTTATTTTTCCTTAATTCCTAAGAAATTTCAGGGTTATATTTGTCATTTAACTTTTGAGTTTTTGAAATTAAATTTAAGGAAAAAAAAAACCAAAAAGATTGAATATTATGCAAAGAAAAAAATTCAGAGAATAAATTTGAATTTTAATCTATTAAATATTGGTGTAACATATTTGGCTCAAATTTGAGAAAGCCTAATTTGAAGTGATTATCAATTTATAACGATAATAGATAAATGATCCATTGCATTCAAGCAAAAGCTATAAATCTCAATGAAAATAAAACAAGCTCCCATGGAAATTCAAGCATTGAAGAAAACATGACATCATAACTTTACAAATGATATCAAATCCAAGCTACAACCAAATTTAAAGCCAGCTTTGATGCAACTAAATGAGTGAGTTCCAGACTACTTCAGCTATGCCATGACTGATTATATGATCCAAACAAACTCCACTGGGATGGAAGAAATCAGGTCCTGTTTATGCAATCACTTCAACCTTTTCTTCCTTCTTTCGATTTTTCTTTGAATGATTGTCGTCATTTTGTTGTTGTTCTGCCTTTTTTTGTGCTCGAATCATGGCTCGTCTTGCACGTGGACGCATCTCTCTTACATTACGAGGTGGCATGATATATGGCTCGAGTGGTCGGTCGCCAAATGGGTGTTCATCTCCAGCAAAAATTCTCAGTTTTCGATCTCTATCCTACATCCATGTAATGTAATAGAATAAATAAAGCTTCACATATAAGATACCTGAACAATGCCTAACTAAGGAATGCAGATTTTATCAAGAACTGAAGTTAATTCATTAGGTAACAGAAAGTGTCAAACACCAAATGAATTTAAGAACTGACATCACGCAGTTTATTTCGTGGCAGCATGCGCAATACAGCTTTACGTATGACTTCGGTAGGGTCTTTGGCCATCTGATCTTTCAAACTTCTTTCCTTGAGATTGCCAACATACCTACAAGCCACGCATAGTTCAATACAAAACAAG